CCCCCAACTGCCCTCCCCTGCAGGCCTGGTTGCCCCCAACTGCCCTCCTCTGCCGGCCCGGTCACCCCTAACTGCCCTCCCCTGCAGGCCTGCTTGCCCCAAACTACCCTCCCTTGTAGGCCTGGTCCCTCTCAACTGCCCTCCCCTGCTGCCCTGTTCGCTCAAAACTGCCCTCCCCTGCTGGTCATCTTGTGGTGGCCATCTTGTGTGTTGGAGTGATGGTCAATTTGCATATTGCATCTTTATTATATAGGACGTCACCCCAATAAATTAAATTAAAAAAAATAAAACAATAAACAGTACTCCCATAGAATCAGCAAAATATTTTTGCCACCTACCTATGTACCAATTTTGCTTTATTTTGTGAATAATAGGACAAAATGATTTTTTCTGTTAAAAAATGTGAGTGAATTTTAGAGTTGAATAGATTATTACACTTATAATACACTATTGCTTCCCTGGTTAAAAGACGAAAGCTTATAGATTGAGATAACATAAAAATCCTGCTTTACTATTTAAAGCAAATGACAAAAGTATTAGGATAAGCAAAGATATATATGAATTGATGACAGAAGCAAGGAGTGGTACCTAATACTAGACAAAATGGAATTCAGGGAGATTGGGGAATGGTTCAGTGAGACAAGAACATTAGTTTATGTTGATAAAACCTAATATCTATTAAGTGGATTTGACGACCATGAACCTTTTTGCACCAAGCATTTAGCATTGAAATGTTTAAAGCAAAAGCTGTTAACTAAATCTCTAAAGAATTTGAATAACACAGCATGATTTTATAGCTACAGATACAAGTGCAAAGAATACATTTGCTATGCAGATGCCAATGGAATATTAATAGAAATACCATGTAATAGGTGATAGAGAAAACCTAACAAATTCTCAAAAGTAGGTGTTACATAGATTAGATTTTTCTGACTTAAAACTTAACAGAACCATAAAACTATGGGGTTAAAGAGGAAACCAAAATTGAGATTTCAGACTATTTAGAAATATAGAGGGGGCAAAAGTAGATTTATACTGTTCATATGGAAAATAATATAATTATTAATAAATAAAGAATACAAGAATAAATTCTGTTTTGCATACTCAGAACTGTATTGTTGATTTTTCCTGTTCACTTTCTTCACCCATCCCTCCACCCCTCTCCCCTCTGGCAACCATCAGTTTGTTCTTTGTTTCTGTGAGTCTGTTTTTGTTTTGTTTTATTTGTTTGTTTGTTTTTTAATCCACATGTAAGTGAAATAATGTATTTGTTTTTCTCTATCTGACTTATTTCACTTAATATGATACGTATGGGTCCAGCCATGGTGTTGCAAATGGCAGGTTTGGGGTTTTTTTTATTTATTGCTGAGTAATATTGTATTGTATATATGTGCCACTTCTTTATTCATCTGTCGATGGACACCTATGTTGCTTGCACATCTTGGCTATTGTAAATAATGCTGCAATGAACATAGGGGTGCATATGTCTTTTTGAATTAGTGGTTTCACTTTCATACCCAGAAGTATTGCTGAGTCTTATGGTAGATTTAGTTTTTCAAAGGATATATATTTTGAATATCAACATCCCTTATTGGACATGTCATTTGAAAATATATTCTCTCATCTTATAGGTTGTCCTTTTGTTTTGTTGATCATTTTCTTCGCTGCATAGAAGCTTTTAGTTTAATGAAGTCCCACTTGTTTATTTTTGTTTTTATTTCCCTTGCCTGAGGAGATATATCAAAAAGATATTACTAAGACTGATGTCAAATAGTTTACTGCCTATGTTTTCTTCTAGGACTTTTATGGTTTCAGGTCTTGCATTTAAGTCTTTAATTCATTTTGAGTTTATTTTTGTATGTGGTATTAGATAATGGTTCAGTTTCGTTTTTTCTACATGATCTGTTCAGTTTTTCCAACACCACTTAAGAAACTGTCATTTTTCTATTGCATATTCTTCCATCCTTGTCTTAGATTAATTGACCATATAAACAAGGGTTTATTTTAGGGCCGTGTCTGTTTTTGTGTCACTACATTACTGTTATGATTATTACTAGAGGCCCAGTGCACAAAAATTTGTGCACTCGGTGGGGTCCCTCAGCCCAGCCTATGCCCTCTCGCAGTCTGGGACCCCTCGGAGGATGTCCACCTGCTGGCTTAGGCTCGATCCCTGGGGGATCAGGGCCCAAGCTGGCAGTCAGACATCCCTCTGGCAGCCCGG